GAGGGTTATCCACCCCGCACAACATGATCTACTCGACCGCCATTATGGTTACCGCCCAAAAAAAAAAACGGAGGAAAAAAAAAAAAACGGTAACCTGGTTGCCGAGTTCACGAAGTGAATTGGCTTGTTTTACAACGTCGTTGCCAAGCGACGAAAACCCAATCCCGATGGCAAACACCGGGGGGGGCGGCTTGTTTTACAACGTCGTTGCCAAGCGACGAAAACCCAACCCCGATGGCAAACACCGGGGGGGGCGGCTTGTTTTACAACGTCGTTGCCAAGCGACGAAAACCCAACCCCGATGGCAAACACCGGGGGGGGTGAAATGTTGGGGGGGGGAAATCTTCTAAAAGAAATTCATTCCGGCACGTATCGCGCCACTCGGTCCGTCTCTTCGCGTTTGCTTACTTCCCTCGCCGTCTCGTCCGTCTCCTGCCCCCCTCCCGCCCCATTGGTTGTTGGCTTGTGAACTCGTTTGAGCGCTCGTTGTCGACTGGCCTCTCTTCCTTCATATGCCAGGAGGTCATGAACCTCTCAGCCCCCTGCAGCACCGCCGCATGCCAGGTTACTCCCCCCTCCACTTTCCCGGCTTCCGTCCACTTTAACTTCGGTGCCGTGTCTTTTGGCACCGGGATTCCGAGACAACATGGATCGGTTATCGTAGATCCGTGGTACGGCCCCGAACACCTTGAGGTCCTCGAGCACACACTTCGGCCAGTTGTGTTCCTGTCACCCCCTACGTCGCTTCTCCCCCCCCGCCAGCTTGAGTCGTTTCGGGAGTCGCCCGTCCGGCTGCCTCGCCAATGCTCCCGCGAACAGGAGGCGTCGTTGTCGGATCATGGCTTCAACGATTTGGCATCCGACCCTCTTTCAGCGTCTGGGCGTAAGAAAGCTGCCAGTAGGTGTCTTTCTTGCGCTTGTACCCGATAACTCGAAGGAGCAGTCGGTGGTGTATAGACCGCAGCCTCTGGTAGTTGCCGCTGAGTGCTGACCATGTCGTGTAGCCGTACAGCAGTGCCTCCATCGCCTCCGCCTGGAGCAGGCGGATCTTGCGTCGGAATGGCGCTTTCGGTCTGTCGAAGAGCTCCCGGCCATATCGCCTGCTGCACGCCCACGCTCCTCTACTCCTGTAGTTGATCTCCCGGGTGAGGTCGCAATGTTCGTTGACGAGGCCACCGAGGTAGCGGAACTCGGTCGTCTGGGCGTATTTCTGTCCCGCGGCTTCAATGGTCAGCGGTGGAGGCGGGGGGGGCTGTGGTGTTGTAGTCGTCTTGTCCTTGGCGCGCATCAGGAGCGTCTCCGTCTTCTTCTCCGACACCGGCGGCCCGAACTCCCCGAACACCTCAACGATGATGGTCATCATTGTCGCCAGTCCTTCTGCAGACCTCGGCACGACGTCGGCGTTANTCGGAATGGCGCTTTCGGTCTGTCGAAGAGCTCCCGGCCATATCGCCTGCT